CTACTAAGATTATCATAAAACGATGATGCACACAGCATAAGTATAGAGCTCATAAAAGGAGGCAATCACATATTCTCCGGCTGGGATATAGGAAATGGTGTCTTATACACAAAGTGTGAGGCAATGGGAGAAAAGTGGTTTATAATGCATCCTGTACAAATCTCTCTTGAGCTGGGGAATGTGGCCCATGGTGGAGCATTTGACTGGCATTCACAAGGTCCCAGTTCCAAGCACAGCAAACAAGTACAGTAGAAACAACAAAACCAGCAAACACAACCAAGCTTCCCTCTTACCCTCCACAGGGAGGTTATGACCAGGTTGGGAAGCTGAGGGCTGTTTTTGCTAGCAGAGGGTCACCACCATCTTCTGTGGAGCCACAGCATTGATCCTACAAATGATCACGCAAGCTTCACTGCACACCCACATGCCCAAGCACAACTTAATTTTTCAATTAAGTTATAGTTCTTTACTATGACTTTCAAAACTAAAGCTAGATAATTAGTCTGATTAAGTTATACTAGGCTGATGTGTGCGGTGACACACATCTCTAAATCAGCCATTTGAAGGGCTGGGACAGGATAGTCTCAGAGTACATGGCCAGTCTGGACTATATAGCAAGTCAGTCTCTCTCTCAAGGCAGTGGCACAAAAGCTGAATAAAATCCCTTTCAGGTGTTAGTCCAGGCATCTCTGTTTGCATGTATTTGGCCAGAACACGGTCAATTTGACTCTTCTGCAAGGGAGGCTGAGATGTAGTCTCTTTGGATGGGTAGCATGGCTTCTCTCTCTCTTTCTCTCTCCCTCTCTCTCTGTCTCCTTCCCTTCTTCCTCCCTCCCTCTCTCCTTCCCTCTCTCTTTCTCCTCTCATTTCATGATTTGACTCTTTGATAACACTAACTGGATTCGCTGAAGAAATAGAAAAGCTAGTTATATTATACAGCTACACACATTATTGTTTTACTTTAGAATAACCTCTAGCCTCCACACATGTGCTCACATATGTGCCACAAACATTTAAAGACATGTAAAACACACGATACTGTTAGATTTTAAATTTTACTAATAACACATAATTTTTTTACTAATAACAAATAATTTTCTCATCTCAAGCTCTTTTTCCCCAAAAGCTACTGATGAAATTGAGACTCAGTTTAGTATGGTGGTGTGTAATGACTTCCTTCCAGATAAACCTCCATCTTTGAAGGAAGCTCTTTATTAAGACACAGTATGCTCCAAAGAAAGGTGCAATTCTGTCCTTAAGTTCAGGAAGAGGACAACCCAAAGGCCCCAGGAAGTCCATGAAACTGACCTGATATACAAAGACCCTCCCTCCTCAAGCATGTACAATCTGTGAGGACTGCTGAGATGTGCTATAGGACAAGATACTTTGTTTGGAAGTATCTTTCCCGTTTGCTGAGCTATTTGTAGTTTTCTCAGTAAGCCAGCTCCCAGCATTTCAGAGATGGTGTTACTTTTTATACCATTTTATTTATTTTTCTTAATGCCTCTTTCTCCTTTCTTCACCCCAATCTCTTCCAACACCCCAATAGCCTGTAGAAGAGAAAGGAGATAGAGGGGAGATGGGACTGTGTTCTCTTTGGTTACTTTCTGCCTGTTAGGGTCGTCATGTTCCTTACAGCAAGTCCAATCTCTCTTTTAGGTTTTCTTCAACTTCTTCTCATCCAACTGCATCGAAAGCAATCAGGAGCAGCAGGGGGGAGTACCAGCAGCCGCCTTCTTTCTCAGAGCTCCCCAGAACTCCCTGGGCTCTGGCATTTATTCCTTCTTAGAGTCCTCAGAATTAACCTATCTGCAGCTGGCAAAGGGCCCCTCTCAGAGCCTGCGCCAGGCAAACAGTTTGCTGCTGTGGACAAGCCGAATACGTCCCATATCCTACATCGGAGCAAAACAAAAACATGTTCACATCCACAACAGATACCAGAGTGGGCCTTGGTGATGCAACTGTCTTTGAGTTATTTCTGCTCCTGTAAGAAACCCTTCAACCATAACCCTTTAAGTAACCCTAATAAAAGTCATCCATTACCAAGCTGAGCTTTGGTAGTATCTGTACTTGTGTCTGTTGTGAGTGTACATTTGTTCACCTACCCCCAGGAACAGAGTGACACAACACATGGTGGCTTATGGACTATAATCCTACTACTTGAAGGCTGAGGTTGAAAGGTTGCCATGAGCTCAAGGCCAAGCTGCGCTACATAGTGAGTTCCAGGTCAGCATGGGCTACATTGAAACCTTGTCTCAGCAACAAAAGAAGAAATGAGAGAGTTGTGTTCTCCTGTACTAATTAGAAGAGGGTCTCTGGAGTGACAGAGTATAAGATGGGCAAGCAGAAGGAGCAGGAAGGTCTTAACTAATTCCTAGATTCTAGGTGACAACCACTGCTCTTAGCTGTTTTACCAGAGACAAGTCTTAGTACATACCCAAACATCAGATATAATTTCCTATGTGCCTCTGTTCTTTTTAATAATTGTAATTATATTTTATTGATTTGTTTATGTGTATGTGTGTGGCATGAATGTGCCACATTGTACACATGGAGGTAAGAGAACAACTGCTGGAGTCTGTTCTCTCTTCTCTCCTGCCACCGTGTAGGTCCTTGGAATCGACCTCAGGCTGTCAGTTTGGTGGCGAGACCTTTATCTACTGAGCCAGCCTATCCACTTTCAGTATTACACAGTGATTTAAGAATACGTCCATTAAGACAAGCTTTAACAACTGAAAAAGGGGTTCCGGCTTTTCACTTTCCAATATTCTTTATAGATTTGTAATTTCTTATTTTCTCCTCCTCCTCCTCACATATTGTTATAGTGCCGGCACTCAAATCAAGGCACACCAGGTAAGTGCCCTGCCAGGATTTCAATCACGTTTTAAACTTTATTATTTTTTTAAGTGAAATAGAAAGATCTGGTGGTGCATGCGTGTAATTCCAGTGGTACAGAGGCTGATCCAGGAGGTTTGCTACAAGTTCAAGTCCATGCAGAGCTACAACTGTGAGCACCAAATGAGCCAATGCTACAACATAGTGAGACCCTGTCTCCAGGAGCATGCGGGATGGGGTAAGGAGTTCATAGCTATAGGACCTAAATGAGAAAAGACACAAGAGTGCCTTAAACTATTTTAAAAATAGAAGTCCTGGGTTTTTGCTTTTTTTTTGGGGGGGGGCATGGTTTCTCTGTGTAGCCTTGGCTATTCTGAACTCACTTTGTAGAGCAGACTGGCCTTGAACTCACAGAGATCCACCTGCCTCTGCTTCCCTGAGTGCTGGCGGTATAGTTGTGGGCCACCATGCCTGGCTTAGAAATACTGTTTTAAGGGGCAAGTTAAGGAGCATGAAATAGACCAAAAAAAAATTTCAAGTCAAATTTTATTCAGAGGCTTGAAGGTGAGCATGACTGAGGAATCTCATGTCCTCCGCGGGCCGAACTCCCTAGCCTGTCACTCTAGACTTTGTCGTCTCTTCATTTAAAACGTTTCTGTCTTAACGGGGAGAGGGGGTCACGCTTGCGAGTGACTTATGCTCGTGCAGAGGCCAGAAGAGGCCGCACAGTGTATTCCGCTGTACTTGTGACTTCTCCGAAGACGGAGTCCCTCTGGAAACCTCTCCGTTTCTGCAGCGCTTGCTGGCCAGCGAGCTCCCCATTACGACGCTGGGGTCGCAGGGCTGTGGCCACGCCCAGTTTTTGTTTTTCTCTCCCGTGGGTGCTGGGAATCCTACCTGAGACGCTTCTTACGCTGCTGATACCTCTCTGCAGCTCTGTCATGTGTCGGCTGATGGCTGATGCTCTGAAGAAAAGCCTAGAACTTTGGGTAAGTTTTTTTTTTTTTTTCTTTTTATCTAGGACAAGGAGGGCTTTCAGTTTGGACCCTAGGAGTGCCATAAAGCATCAGAAGAATGAGAAAGCATAGCTCATCAGTTCCTCAGCAGAGCTGGTTAAGACACTGGCCAAGTTCAGTGCAATGTTCCTTTTTTTTCAAACTATTATGTTTATTTTATGTGTATAAGTGTTTTGCCTACACGTATGTATGTGCATCGCACATACGTGTCCCACAGAGAACAGAAGAGGGTGGTAGATACCCTGGAACTGGAGTTAAAGACTTCGTAAGCCGTGTAGGTGCGGGACCCGGGTCCACTGTACAAGCAGGAAGTGCTCTTCGCTGCTGAGCCCTCTCTGCACCCCTGCCCAGACCCCAGGCTGGTGTAAATGCTCCTGCCTCAGGCCCTCAAACAGAAAGCTGTTGTACTGAAAGAAGCACTTAGCTGCTTCGAAACAGATTGAAAGAGTAGATCTGTGCAGTATCGACGACAGGTCTGCCTTAGCCGGGGCTGGCCTCCGTCCACGGCAGAGGACGGCCTCTGATCCAGCCGCCTCCCCGCCGAGACGACAGGTGCCACCACCATCCGCGTTCCCGAGGCGCGGAACGGTGCGCCTCCTGCGCTCCGGCAACCGCGCTGCGGCCCCGAGTCCTCACCAGCTAGCTGCGCGCCGTTACAGCAGTCCCGCGCGCGAACACCCCGTCCTCTCGGTCCTCCCGTTACTAAGCTCGGCCGGGGGCTGGTGTGGAGCAGCACGGGAGGCCTCTCGGCCTGAGCAAAGGAGCGAGCGAAGACCCCAGCCTACTCTCCTGTCTGGGTTTCTTCCATGCTTACCCCGCGTCCTGCCTCGAGGCCTTTGCGCGTAAAGCCGCACCGGGGCGGTGGCTTTGCCCCACTCCGGAGGACGGAGCGGGTCTCTCCAGGGAAGGGCTGTAGCCATGCACATGCACATGGCCCTTTCGAAGCCCTGTCCCGAGATCTTCTCTAGGGCTGCCTGGGTGAGGCACGCCTCTCTGCCGAGCCCCTAGCTGGCCTGCTTGGGGCTCGGGCTATTCCCCGGCGGCCGGGGCAGCGGCCGGGTCGGTGCTCACCCGCGGCCGCGCAGGCCCCGCGCCCCCCGCCCGCGTCTGCGGCTGCGCGGCCGGCCCGGGAGGGGGCGCGGCGGGCGGCTGGGAGCGGGGCCGCGAGCGGCATGTCTCGCTACACCAGGCCCCCCAACACCTCCCTGTTCGTCAGGAACGTCGCAGACGCCACCAGGTGAGCGGAGCCGGGGCCCCGCGGGAGGGCGGGGGGTGGCCCGGGGGTGGCTGCCTGGCTGTCAGGTGCCGGCCGGGCGCCCCGGGTGCCCAGGCTGCAGGCTCGTCGGGGTGCCATCCGGGGGTCGGGGTGCCCGTCTTGCGTTAGGATGCTGGCCGGGTGTCCGGGTGCCGCTGCGGGCTGTCGAGGTGTCTGGGTTTTGAGGGTGCCGGCCAGGTGCTGGGGTGCGGCTGTGATGCACAGCGGCTGGCCGGTGTCAGGGCGCCCGGTGGGGGGCGGCGGCCGGCCATGGTGTCAGTGCTGGCCCCAGCCCTGCTGTCGCTGCGCCCCGCAGACGCCGCCCACTAACCTTCCGGAGGGACTGGGGCTGTCTCCTCTCAGGATGCGCAACTCAGGCCTTGCAATTTTCTCTGCGCTGTGCAGACAGTGCTCTTAGCCCCCGCCCCCCTTGGGCCCACATTTGATATAGAAACGACCGCTCAGTTCAATTTCTGTGTTTTTCTTTGAGTGCTGGGAACAGTCTTAGCCCTCATCACGGTTAAGTAGTCGGTTTTCAATGCCGGAAGTCTTTATTTCCTCTATCCCTCTTGGAAAATTCTGTCTAGATGGTTCCTAAGCATAGAGCTGAAGAAATGCCCCGTTTCATAGAGCACCTTTTCCTTAAACTCCCTATAGGAGCAGAGGGAGGGGTGACATTAATAGACACCTTAATTTCACTGGAATTGCCTAATTCCCACCTAGTTCTGCAGTCTTGTCCACTTATGGAAAGTTGACGTTCAAGGGTTTCAAGGAGTTACCCAGACATAAACAGGCACAAACCTATGTAGCTCTTCGCTGGTTAGCTGTCTGGAGAAATCATAATTTATGTTCTGTTTTGTTGAGAGAGGATCTGTGTCTAGTCCAGGTTTCCCTACATCGGCTAAAATGACCTTGAACTTCTGATCCTGCTGCCCCCACCTCCCTCCCAAGTATTGGGACTACAGGTTTGCACACTGCTAAGCTGATGATTTACTTTTAGGAGTATTAAAGGCTTTCAATTTAATCACTGTAAATATATGTCACAACTAGAGACTTCGAATTAATAGAATTTATAAGATGCCTGTGTTTCATGGTTTTCTTAACTGTTTATCAATACAATAGTACATAGAGAAGCAAAATTACTATTTGGGTAGGCTTTTAAAAAACCTCAAATTTAGACATTTTGAAAAATAAGCACGAGGTCTTCATGGAATGTTTACAGAAGAAACCCCAGAGAGTCCCAATTCTAGTGGCCACAGGAGCTAGGCAGCATAATACAGATAGGTGAAGGTGCCAGCTTGTGAGGAGTAACAGAATGGTATGTATGGACGGCAACAAATGGGCATCCTCCATCTGATGGGGAAGCCGTCTTGCCAGTTTTGTTTTGTTTCAATTCCATAGAACCAAACCAAGGGTCTTGTATATTCCCTGGGGCATCAATTTAACTTATTTTGAAGGCCAAGCCAGGACCCTGGTTTTCCCTCTTCCTGCTTCCACTGCCCCTATAGCTGTGACTTCGGGCATGTGCCACCAACTTGCCTCAGGCCAGCATGATGGCTCCATGAGTAAAGAGGACTGCCTCCAAGCCTGAGGATCTGAGTTCTTTCTCTGGGACCTACATGGTAGAGGACAAGAATAACCCTTCAAGCTGTCCTCTGACCTCACATAAGCCACAAACTCACACACTGTAACTTGATAAAGATGTATTAAGTTGAATCATGTGAATTCTCTTTCTGGAGACGTAGAAGCTGTAAAATATGGGCTATTTCATACACCTATATACAGTTTTCAAATGCTCAAACATTGTGCATGCTAAGTAAAACACACGTGGACTAAGGGTGTAGCTCCGTGGTCAGCTGCTTGCCTTCCATGAGGAAGGCCTTGGCTGCTGTCCCCTCATTGTAAAGTAAAACAAAGACATGTCTTCATGTGACTGCTAACCTTGGGTCCAGGTAATCTCCACCGAGGGCAGGGACTGGTGACTGAGAGTTATGAACTCTATGTTGTTCGTTCATCACGTTTTAGCCTGCCTCTGGGGAAGTAATCAAAACTGAGAGTATCTTGTATTAAGAAAATAATAGTCTCTAGACTTTGTTAACTGTTCACTCTGTGACAGGGGCTCTGTGGAGAAGACAGGGAGGTGGCTCCACAGGTTAAAACCGTGGCCAACCCTAGCAACCTCAGTTCAATCCCCCAAACAAACAAGGCAGGAGAGCTGACTCCTTTATGTTGTCCTCTGACCTCCACATGGACATGTAACACAGGTGCCCACATGCATACACATGCAGAAAATAAATGTAACTCTTAAAAACTCTACATACAGTATCTATTTAGTTTGTATCATCCTCTGTCTTAGTTAGGGATTCTGGCTGAGATAAAACACCATGACCACCGGGCACAGTATTGTACACCTGTAATCCCAGCACTCAGGGAGGCAGAGGCAGGTGGATCTCTGTGAGTTTGAGGCCAGCCTGGTCTACAAAGTGAGTTCAGGACAGCCAAGGCTACACAGAGAAACTCAGTTTCAAAAAGACCCCAAAACCAAACCAAACCAAAACACCATCATGACCAAAGCAACCTGGGGAGGAAAGCGTTTATTCAGCTTACACTTCCACATCATTGTCCATTATCAAAGGAAGTCAGGACAGGAACTCAGGCAGGGCAGGAACCTGGAGGCAGGAGCTGATGCAGAGGCCATGGAGGGGTGCTGCTTACTGGCTTGCTCCTCATGGCTTGCTCCGCCTGTTTTCTTATAGACTGCAGGACCTCCAGCCTGGGGGTGGCACCATCCACAATACACTGGGCCTCTCTCATCAACCACTGACTGAGAAAATGCCCTATAGCCTGCCCACAGCACAATCTTATGGAGGCATTTTCTCAACTGAGGCTTCCTCTTCTCTGTGGCTCTGGCTCATGTAAAGTTGACATAAAACTAACCAGCACACTGTATGTATGTTTAAATTTTTATTTCAGACAGAATTTCATCAGGAAATTCTTTTTTTGTTTAATTCCATATATATATATATATAATTTATTCACTTACATACTGATTGTAGCTCCCTCCCTTGTCTCCTCTCAGTCCCACCCTTCCTCTTTCTTCTTCCCTATCCCCCTCCCCTAGTCCTCAGAAAGAGGGTGTTAGTATTTTGAAACACAACCTGTTCCTGTGTTTCCCAGCAACCTATGATGTCATCATGTGTTGCCAGCCAGGTGGCCACACCTGGAAGGCGTGGTTACCTTGCCCCTTAAAGGGCTAACCCCGACACGTGGTCTCTCTCTTATACTCTTTCTTTCTCTCTTACTTTCTCTCTCTCTCTCTCTCTGCGCCCATCCCCCTTCCCTTTTCTCTCTGTCTCTCCGTGGCCTGCTCCCCCTCCCCTCCTAATAAACTTCTTTCGGAGAATATCGGTTGATGCCAGCCTCATTGATTTTAATAAATAAATAACAGAGGGAGCCCACTGAGTTCATTTTCTGTTGGCCTCCTACTGCTGTCATGTAGCCTACCCTGAGGAGTAGTTTGTTTCCAGTGAGTCTCCCTGGGGGAAACTGAATCTTTATTTGCAAGCGGCTATCTTTGGATGTTGCTTTTAGGTGAGGGTGGGGCTGTGTCCACTTCTGCTTTCAGCTCTAGGACCCCATGTGGTGCAGACCCATGTAATCCCCGTGTATGCTGCCTCTGTCTCCATCTCTGTGAGCTCATGTGTGCATAGATCACACTGATTTAGAAGGACTTGTTTTCTTGGTGTCTTCCATTCCCTCTGGCTCTTACATTCTTTCCACTTTTCTTCCAGTCGGTTCTGTGATCCCCGAGGAGAGGGATTTGATGGACTGATCTCACTTAGGGCCTAGGGTTCCAAGGTCTCTTGTTCTCTTCATAATGTCTGGCTGTGGGCCTATGTATTTGTTCTCATCTGTTGCAAGGGTAAGCTTCCCTGACGATGGCTGAGCAAAGCACTAATCTTTTCCTTTCTTTCCTTCTCTTCCTCCTCCTACCCCCCTTCTTATTCTTCTTCTTTAGAAGAATAGTATTTGACTTTACTCTAGGTCCCTACGCCAGTTAGTCTCAGGCTCTGAGTTACCCAAGTATTATTGTGGAAAGGGCCTTAAGTCAAGTCAGATATTGGGTGCTTACTCCCACAAGCTTTGTGTCACAGTTGACTAGCGTATCTTGCAGACAGGACACCACTGTAGAGTGAGGAGGTTGTGGTTGAGCCGGTGTTTACATTTCTCTTTTGGTAGCCTGCAGACTGTTGTCCTGCACAGAACACAGTAGTACACAGGCTGGTGCACCAGCTCAGCTTCTCCAGGTTCACTGAGTTGTGTAGGTGTTGTCTTCAGCAGTGGGGGCTGGCTGTCAGTTTGCAAAAAGCAACCTGTAGGCTTGGCAACAGCCTGGGTTGTTTGAACATTCCCATGAGGCTCTTAGATGTTGTTAGGTTTCGAACAGGGACAAATGGCTGAGGTGCCTACTTAACATATCAAAGTGGACCTGTTCTCCCAGCATCCCTCAGTCCCTGCTTGTTACAGGGCCCTTCTGGCTGCTGCACGTGGTTCTCCTCTCTCCCTTCTTTCCCCTCCCTGCTCTCCTCACATGGCACAGCTCAGTCTGGCCATGTCTACTCTAGACTCTCCCAGAGGTCTCTGAGCCTGGCTATGTCCTCCCACTATATAATAAACTCTCCTCCACCATACCTAAGCACAGTCATGTTCCTTTCCTTTCCATTTGTTTGTTTGTTTGCTTGCTTGCTTGCTTTTCATTCAGTTATAACTCATTCCCTCACTCCTGTTACACGAAGCTTCATTTGGCAGCAACATATGTCCGGTTTGGCTCTGTCTCGCCTATTATTTGGCAATTTCATTTGCATCTCCTGTGTGTGTGTGTGTGTGTGTGCACGCTTCTGTTTTCTTTTTTCTTTTGAGTTTGTTTGTTTTGAGACAGGGTTTCTCTGTGTAACAGAGCCCTGACTATCCTGGACTTACTGTGTAGACCAGGCTGGCCTCAAACTCAGAGATCCACCTGCCTCTGCCTCCTGAGTGCTAAGATTAAAGGCATGTGCCATCACACCCAACTTGATTTTGTTTTTCTTAACAATTAATAATATTCATTATCCATTCATCAGTTAATGGACATCTGGGATGTTGGCATTTCTAGCTATTGTAAATAGAGAAGCATTGAACATGGATGCTCAGGTAAGAGTAAGAGGTAGTCCTTTGGGTATATGCAGCAGTGAGGAAGAGCTATCCTTGCCAGCATCTGCTGTCTTTTTTCTTTTTTTCAAATCTTGACCATTCTGACTAGTGAAATATAAAATCTCAGAAACATATTAATTTGCATTTCCCTGGTGCCTAGGGACGTAAATTGTCTCTAAACTGTTTATCAGCCATTTGTATGTCTTCTTTTGACCACTGTTTAGTTATGCTCCCCATTTTTTAATTTGGCTATTTGTATATTTGATGTGTAGAGGTTTTTTAGTCCTTTGTATATTGTAGATATTAACCTTCTGTCAGTTTTATAGTTGGTAAATCCTTTTTTCTTTTTGTAGGCTGCCTCTTCACTGGAATGATGGTGTCCTTTGCTGTACAGAGCTTTTTTGTGTAATGAAGTCTCATTTAGCAGCCAGTGGTCTTAATGCATGCTATCAGGGTCCTGTTCAGAAAGACTTTTCCTGTGCTTATAGGAGCAACTATATTCCAACTTTCTCCTCCAAAAGATTCAGGATATCAGCTCGAGACCCTTGATCTTCAAGTTGAATTTTGTGCAGGGTGAGAGATATGGATCTAGAGTCATTCTTACAGGCAGCAAATCCACTTTGACCAGTACCATTTGATGATAGTGCTATTTTTTTTTCTCTAGTATGTATCTTGAATTGGCTCATTTTTGTTTTCATTGAGCTATTTTTTTCATGGTCTTCAGTCATTTATAAATATCCTTTTGAATTCCTTGAACATATTTATAATTGTTATTTTGAAGCCCTTGCCTTATGCATCAGCTAAGTTGCTTTTCTCCGGGAACATTACAGTGGGGGTGCTGGTTTCTGGAGGAGACACAGTTATGGCTGTTTGGGGTGTTTGTGTTTTTGCAGTGGGATGGAGGAGGCATTTAGACTAAGGTTGTTTGTGCTGTTTCTTGGTGTGGATATCTGGTGTCACTTCTGTCATGTAGGTGTTTGGAACATTGCATGCTGCTACCCCAACTTGCAATAGACCAGCTGAATGACGCTTGATTTTCAGCCTTGAGGTCAGTCTGGGTTTCATGGTTGGACTCCTCATAGTCCCTGGTCAAAGATATGGGTGGAATGGCTGACATTTGGGTATACAGAAGCCAGCTGTTTTTTTTTTTTTCTTTCAGAGAACTATTCCCTCTGATTTACTGAATGAAGAGGTGAAAGAAAAAAACACATTGTCATAGACTATTTGAAAAGGCAGCCAAACAATATTAAATAAAATATACCATAAAATAGACACTGCCTGGGACATATAATAGATGCCTAGTCAACTTTAGGAATTTTATGTCTTTATGAATCTTTATGGAACAGTTCCTAGATCTTCCCCTCTGGCCTTAGTTATTGGGCCGTTGAGATGGTTCATCAGGAAAAGGCACTCCTTGTTCAATCCTGACCACCTGAGTTCAATCCCCAGATCCCACAGTGAAAGCGACTAACTCTTAAGAGAACTAACTCTTCAAAGTTATCTTCCATCTTCCAGATGTATGCCTTGGCAGGCTCATGCCCAGACCCAAGGACATACATCATACACACAAACATACAATAACACTAAATTAAAATGTACATATTTAATTAAAACCAGACGAGTTATGGTCTAGTCTTGGGAGAAGTTGGTTAGTAGCATTTGCGTACCCACAGGCTGTCCAAGCACTGTAACACCACACCTCATTCTGCAGCTCTGCATCGGGGAGCTCCTGGCTCTCTCCGTTCCTTCCTCAAGCCCTTTTCTAACTTTTGTTACCGACAGCAACTTCCTTCTCTTTGCTGGAGTCGGAGCTGTGCAGTCTGCATTGTTCTGAAACACTCTTCTTTCTTCTGAGCCATGCTTTGAACTAGGAGCTTGAGGCTGAATCCCTGTGGGCTCCCTGAAGCATCGTGCTACAGAGATTAATAACAGACTAGTGTGTGACCCCATCTTCATCACTTGCTAGCCCAGTGACCTTACAGACAGACTCATCTGTCTGTAAATGTCTGTAAACAACTGTAGACTTGGGAGAATTAAACCATCTTTAGATGAACAGCTCCTTCTCTATGTATAACCATCAGCTAGCCCCACTAAACATGTTGTGCCTTCAGTTAAATTGTAGCTCCGCAAAGACAAATTATACTATTGTCACGTATAAAGGAAACACCAGTTCTCCAAACTCCAAAAGCAGTCTGAATATCCAGAAATGAGCTGAATTTCCCCCACTCCCAGATTTCCTCCAGTTCACAGGTTTCCCTCCCCCGGCACCCACAGCTACCCATTCTCCTTATAACCCTGCTATTCTTGCTTTGTTCTCTCTATGCTGTGCTCCTGCTTCTCTCACTATTTTCTCTCTTCTCTATCCCCTGCTGTTTCCTCCTCTCTCACAGATAGCCCTGGCCATACCTAGTCTGCTGCCCATTTTCAGTCTTCCCTCTCTCTCTCTCTCTCTCTCTGGCTCTTTCTCTCTATCTCTCCCTTCTCCTTCTCTGCTATCTTTTTCTTAAGTAAAGCCCTGTGCTTATAATGGTAGAAAACATATAAGATCAAATATAAGAATAGTTATTTTGCTTTTGGGTATATGGGAAAACACACTTTTTTTTTGTTGTTGTTAAAGTCCAAGAAATAATTCTAAGACTTCTTAAGATTCTAAGTATTCCTTTCTGAAAACAAAATTCTAATAAACATGAAGTTATAGTGAGGCAGGTGAATGTGTTCTTAAATGAAACCACCAAGTCTTGTGATGGAAATAACTTTTAAGGGTGGATGTGCTGGGTCAGGTTTTGGGTTTTTTTTTTCCTTTTTTTTTTTTTTTTTTTTTAAAAAAAAAAAAAAAAACTTGACTAAGTTGACAACCACCTGAACTGTCTGTAAGAAGAACAGACTCCCAGGTCCCTAATGCAGATTTCCTGAATTAGGATCTCTAAGAGTGAGAAGACTGAGGGAGGTTTGTTTTGTTTGTTTGTTTAACTGTGGGTGAAGCTAGGCACGATGGTGCAACCTGCAATCCAAGCACTTTCAGGGCTGAGGCCAAGGACTGTGAGTTCAAGGCCAGCCTTGTCTACATAGCAAGATTTGGCTCCACCATACCCCCCAAAAGAAAGAGATGTGAATAATTTTTACAGGAGACAAGTTTAGATAACGGAAGCTTAGAAAATACCATTCCTTTTACATTTTTAATATTTATTTGTGTGTGTCTGTGTCCCTCCTCTTCCTCTGACTCCGTGCTCGAAGTAAAAGGAAAACTTTCGGGAGATGGTTCTCTTTCCAGTTCAGGTTTTGAACTCAGGTCTTTAGGCTTAGCCGAATAAGCCTTTCCTCATTGAGCTGAGCCCTCTCAGTGGCCCAACCATACACTTTGTTTTGAAAGCTTCGGTTGGAATTCTGTAAGCAAAGGACTTACTCTGCCTTTCTGTGTTGACTTGCCTTATCTCTGGAATGTGCAGGCCTGAGGACTTGCGACGTGAATTTGGTCGCTATGGCCCCATAGTTGACGTTTACATCCCACTTGACTTCTACACTCGCCGCCCCAGAGGATTCGCTTACGTGCAATATCCTTTATGTGTGCGTGCAAACACATGGCATACATGTCCTTACACACACATGTACTAGGAGTGTGTTATGACATCAACTTTGTCTAATTAAATGTGTTTGTTCCTTTGTCTCAGAAAGTCTAAAACAGTCCACAGCAACTGGTAAGTGCCACCCCTCACCCAGTTAGAATGAACTCACAGGCATGACAGACAGCAAGGAATAAGGAGGGAGGATGGACGTACTGGTGTGGGACCCGAAAGAATGAAATCTATCAAGCAAAGGACAGAGCAGTCTTTGAGACCGGCCAGTGCCACTGAGGTCATTGCCAGTCTCCTTTCATTTGCATTTTTTGAGCTTCCTTGAGAAAACTAGTAAACAAGGCCCAGAATGGTGGCTCACACCTTTAATCCCAACATTTGGGAAGCAGAGGGAACTCTGGGAGTCTAGTGTGGGCCTGGTCAACAGAGGGAGCTTCAGGCCAGCCAGAGCTACAAAATGAGACACTGTCTCAAAAAGAGAAAGGGAGAGAAAGAAGGCTAGGAAGCAGCCTCCTGAGCTGCAGCTGATTGCATTTTACACAGCTACTGTCCATTATAGTGAGGCTTGGGATCAATGCTTAGTGGAGCATTCCAAAACATGTATATGATTCCAGATGTTTGCAGATTGTTTCTGAATGGAAAACAAAACAAAAACCCCAAACAAAACAAACCCAAGGACATGGCTGCTCCTAGGTATGGTTAAGGAGAAAGTTTACTTTGGATATGAGAAAGAAAACATCCCAGAGGAATCTGGAAGGGTCCAGACTGACCCAGGCCATGGCTGGGGGGTGTGCAGGTGGGGGATGGGAGATGACAGCCAAGAGCACCCAAAATGGCTGTATTATATAGGGAAGAGAAGCTGGGGAAGGGACTGCCGAGGGGAGGGTGTGGGGCATGCCAGCCAGGATAACCCTGCGCCTGGTCCTGCAAAGCTGACAGCCTGGTGGCCAGTGTCCACTCAGACATGTGAACAGGCGCCTCAGTTAGCCACTTGTGCCTAACAGTTTTCCTGTTATTTTATACTTACATCCCAAGTGGTAACACAGAAGGGGTTGGTCACAGAAGTGCTAGGTTCAAGAGTGGACACCATCTTTAAAGGACCAAAGCAGTCCTTTGTTTTTACTTACTTTTATTATTTCAGTTTTGTTTATAGTGAGTCATTTCTCCTAAATCTCATAACTCGGCTTTTAATGACAGAGTACTTTCACTCTCAGAATAACAGTGCAAGCTGATATTTTCAGTGAAAACCCTGGAGTAAGCCCTAAACAGTTTATCTTATATAATGCTAATTTGGGATTTTTCTTATGTTTTAAATTATACTGCTATATTGTATCTACGGTCCTGTTCTTCTATTCATGTTTCTAAATCACAAGAGGGCATTTATTTTCATAATAAAATACAAAAGCTTTTCTGATTATTTATATTGGAGCCAGGATTTGCTTTTCTTTTTAATTTAATTTCACATGTAAATAATATCTTAGAAATATTTTTTTCTTACTATCCGATGTCCAAAGTGTCCTTAACAGCTGGTTATGTTTGAAGATGTTCGAGATGCGGAAGATGCACTCTACAACCTCAACAGGAAGTGGGTATGCGGCCGGCAAATTGAAATACAGTTTGCGCAAGGTGATCGCAAAAGTAAGTGCCATTAGGTCTTTACCTCTCAGAATGAGCCTCAGCGACGACGGTGTTTTAATATAAAGTTCCGGAAATGAGCCGACTGAGCAGCAGCTACTGCAGTTTTCAGGCAGTGAACTGTTAGAAGCCTTGTTCTTCATATTCCAGCACCGGGCCAGATGAAGTCGAAAGAACGCCACCTGTGCTCTCCCAGTGATTACAGGAGGTCCCGAAGCCCCAGCCAGCGGCGCTCTCGGAGCCGAAGTTCTTCGTGGGAAAGAGACAGGCGACGATCAGACAGCCTGAAAGAGTAAGTACTGAAAGCAACAGTGAACGACTTCATTTTCTACTATTTCTAGAAAACATTTTAAGGAATTCCTGGGGGTGCAGGGACAGGCTCCTTGGATGATTTTGTTTAACATGGATAAACTAACTTTTGTGAAAAGATACGCTCTTCTCCATCATATGTTGTTTTTTGTTTATTTTCCTGGACACTGGGGTTGGACTTGGGCCCAGGCACATGCTAGCACGTACTCGACTGCACCCCTCTTGTTATTGTTATTTGGATTTTCTGTGTCATAAGTACATGTTTGTGTATGTGTGGGCACATGCATGCACACAGGGGTCTTTCTTGGTCACCCTCTACCTAGGTTTTTGGTAATGAGGTCTTTCACTTAACCTGAAGCTCATCCTTTTGGCTAGACTGGCTGGCCAGTGAACTGGAATCCACCCTTCTCCACCCACTACATCTCCTCGGCTTACAGATGTGGACCATTGCCCCTTCACTTTTTAAAGGTGCTATTGTTATGTCCAGTTCATGAAACCCCCAAAGACCACCAGGAATTGACTCCACTGCAAATCCATGAGGATCTTTTTATTACAAGCTCGAGCCTGGGTCGCAGCATTCTCCCTGGTTGAAGAGGAGGAGTAGGGACCCATGGTCTAGGGGAACAAGGTTTTTTTAAAGGGAAAAAAAAAAAAAACATAATCAGGGAGTTACATGCCTTGGCATTACATGATTGTATAAGGGGAATTGGCTTTTGAAATGATTGGTTTACTTTAGGCATCAAGACATTAATGGTTCTGGCCTGGACATCTGGGTCATTTTCCTAGCAGCTGCATTTCTAGTGGGCAGGAAAAGAATGTAGTAAAGCTAGCTCCTTTCCCAAGGTAGCTGGACATGTTTCCATTTGGCTGGCCTTTGTTCAGGCTTATAAACCAATACCCACTAATTTTTAATCCTTTGGTCTCTCACTGTATAATCCAGGCTGGCCCTGAGTGCACTATGTAGCTCAGGTTGGGCTCAAATTTGAAATGACTCTCTTGCCTCTGTCTCTCCAGTACTGGAATCACAGGCACACACCACCACGCCTAGCTCACACATTGTTTTTCAACTTGTATTTATTGGATATACTCCAGTGTTTTTATGTGATTGTTTTAAGAACTGGGCACTATGGCTTAATTTTAACTACTTAAATAGGTAGATACTATGAACCTGGCCATAGTGGCACATACCTATAATCCTAACATTTGGGAAGCAGAAGCAGGAAGATCTAGAATTCAAAGTCAGAATAAGCTACATATCGAGATCTGTCTCAGTCTCTTCTCCCCAAGAGAAAAGACTCACACAAAAAAGAAAGGTAATATATGCCCCTCCTCCAAAATGGGAAGCAAAATGGCAAAATGGAAGCAGGATGTAGTGGTATTACAGCTCCTGTAGCACACACACAACACTCAATGGAATGAGCAGGTTCTTAAGTTCAAGGCCAGCTGGGCTAAAAACAGTAAGATGCCATCCCCAAAATAAATACATAAAATATTATATACTCAACAAACAAGGTTAGGAATTTCAGATAAGTAAAATTTTCCTAAACGAACCCAACAATTCAGAATCTTGACTTCTGAGAAGGAGTAAACTCAAGATATAATATGGTTGTTTATAAAAGGAAGGAGGTTGGCTAAAATTAAATCAGTTTATTCGTGTTTGCTTGTTTGTTTTCTTTTCTTAAGATAGGGTTTCTCTCTGTAGCCTTGAACTCAGAGATCTGCCTGTCTGTGCCTTTTATTCTACAATTTACTCGTATAAATTGATAATATATTATTAAGAATCAGTTCCAGCTATGCTCATATTATAGGAAGGAGACAAAAAAAAAAGTAAATTTGTTAAAGGCATTTGAAAGTTACTTATTTTATATATAGGAATTAGTATTTCTTTTATTAGAAAAATACTAAACCACAGTGGAAATTAAATGGTGATACTATCAAAACAGTCATTTACGCTGGATTGTCATGCCTAAGTTCTCTTAAATATTTATGGTTTAATGCTTTAACTTTTTTAGGCATGTGGAATTTTAGAGTGAACTCTGATCTTAAAGAACTGTCCGAGTAGCTTGATGTGGTGGTAGTTGAGAGGTAGAAGAAGGAGGCTCAGGAATTTGTGGCCACTCTACAGCTGCATAGAGAGTTCAAGACTAGCCAGGACTGCATATGTCCCAGGCTGGAAACAAACAAGCAAAAAGAAGAAAGAAAGAGAAAAGAAAAAGAAAAACAGAACAATTGCAGTGCAGAGTTAGGTAGGTGGCTCTGTTAGTGAAGTCCCTGCCGTGTGCACGAGAGGGAGGGTCCAGCCTCTTGTGGACTGCACACTCTACACTGAGCACGTTTTCCTCCCTAAGTTCTTCTTGAGGGTGTTTATCGTAATGATGGGAAGTCTGATTAGCACCGTGTGTTTTAATAAGTTAATGACAAGACAGCACTGGGACTGGACCCAGGGATGTGTGCTGGCAAGCTGAACGCTCTCTGGCCAAGCTATGCCTCCAGCCTTAAAAAATATGATTCTAACTATCATTCATGCCCTTGGCTCAAACATAAGTAACAAGTCTGTAATATCTGTTGCACTCGAATGTAGTTCAAAACACTTTTACTTTCTGACTCTATATTAGACAACTTAGTTCTGCAAAAAGTCCTGTATATTTAGACTGGATTGAGAATATTCTCGTTCTCTCTCTCTCTTTCTCTTGTTTTTCTTTCTAAGACAGGGTCTAATTTGTGACTGTCCTGTTCAACCTGCCAAGTGTTGGAATTACAGAAATGCAACCACTACCCACTGATCAGGACAGAGCCTCAGGCTCTAGTCATATCTGCCAAGTCCACTAGCTGGCAGCCAGGCCCCCAGTGCTTGAGTCTGAGGGGGGTTTCCCCGTTTATCAGGGTGGGTCTTTTACTTGCATGTATGTCTATGACTCACATGTATACAATACTTTCAGAAGCCAGAAGGTACCAGAGCCCCTGGAACTGCAGGAACCCAGATCCTTTGGAAGAGCAGCAAGTGCTTTTAACCACTGGAGACATCTTGACAACCCCTGTGGGGGTAAATTTCATATGAAACCACAGCACACACTCGGTGTAATATGCAGCACAGCAGGAAGTACCGTCTTACCCTGTTGTCTTGTATAAAGCACACGCTCTAATGGTACGTCTGCTTTCAGGTCCCGACACAGGCCATCATCTTACAGTCAGTCTAAATCTCGTTCCAAGTCACTGCCGAGGCAGTCTACCTCAGCAAGGCCGTCAAGAACACCAAGAAGGAATTCTGGATCTAGAGGACGGTCACGATCCAAGTCCTTACCAAAAAGGTCCAAGTTGATAGAAAAATCACAGTCGCGCTCACCTCAAAAGCAGACTGGCCCGGGAGCAAAGCCAAGCTCACACGGACGACACTGTGACTCGATAGCAAGATCCCCATGCAAGTCTCCCAGAGGGCACACCAGCTCCGGGTCTAAGACTCAGACAGCAAAACGTTCTCATTTCCGGTCACGTTCCGGATCTCGGAGTTACCATCATAAAAACAGCTGGTGAACAGCAGCTTACGGAAGAGCCGCAGAGCTCTGCTACATGTTATCAGACCTCATTGTGGTTAAAATTCTGCAAGGCTTATAGAAATGTGAACTGGCGTTAGTGTGGGGATAGGGAAGAAATAAAATGCCCTGGCTTTGATTAATAAATATTTAGTCTCAATTTAAGGGCTCATTCCACAAACCACTACCGTGCAGTGTCACCGTTGCATAGCCCGTATCTGGTTCACATTGTAGCAGGGGGGAACTTGCCAAAAGAAACTTTCCAGAATGGAAGCAACGCAGAAGTTCTACTTAGAGATCAAATATTGCCAATAATAACTTTTGCAAAGTATTTTTTATTCTAAAGCACTTTTCACAAAAAAAGTAATTGTGACGATATGTAACTGAATAGACCTGACTTAAACTGTTTGACATCTTTCTTGTGACTTCTGTTTAAGCTTGGGCCAATTCCTGGTAGGTACTAGTTCAAATTACAGCATTCTGAAACCTTAAAAGATAACATTTATATAGAGATTCCATAACTGTTTAAACGATATCTACAGGGTGTTTAAAAGATAACTCAAAGAACATTTCATTGTTTTTGGATACAGCAGCATAGACCAGTTGACATTAAATGTTATCTGTGTTTGCTTAAGCTTCTCAAACAAAGCCAGGTGTGATGGCACACGCCTGTGATCCCAGCACCTGGGAGGTGAGGCGGGAGGGACAAGACTAGCATGGACTGGGCCACGTGAGACCCTGTCTAAAGAAAATAAATAAATGCTTTTCTAAAAAAGTAAAACCATTTCAGATGTACTAGATTTTGAATGGCTTTGAGAGTACTCTAAAGATTATGGCGTGGAACACTCGGAATCCACAAATACTCATATTAAGCCTTACATATTTGAAGTATAGCACATTTTGTATAAAATCATATTTATACTATTATTTCTATATAGCTATTTTCATCTGCATTTTTCCTTTTTAGAGTTCTAGTTCAATATCCTAATTATAAAAAAGTTCTTGAAAAATTAAACACTTAGTATATTATATTAAGAAATATTAGCTAATGGGATGGCTTGGGTATCTCACTTAGTGAGAGGGTAAATTCACTCACCCAGACCTGGCAATCTGAGTGTCAGCCGGGCAGCTTGAACTCAGCCCCTAGAGCCCACTCAAAGCTGACTCCTGCAGACTCTCTCTGACTCACACACTTGTGCCAGCTACAGCATGTGTGTGCATGTCCGTGCACACACGTGAGCACACATACACACACATACATAAGTGTATGCAAAAGATTTAAGGTCAAAACTATACCTTCAAGCTAGATATGCAGCACATGCCTGTCATTTCAGCACTCGGAAGCTGAGGCCAGAATTTGAGACCAGCCTGGGAAACTTTAAGCCCATCCCAACCTCCCATAACCCCCAAATGGAAAAAAAGATGGTATGAAAGAGAGAGAAAGACAAAGATCTTCATAAAACAGCTTTAAGGTATTGGACTTTTACATTATACTACATTTTTTAAACCAAATAACTTTGTTGACAATTATTGTTTTTTGTAGTTGTTATACCTTAGAATTTCTTTTTAAATGTGTTTGAGGTTTACATTTCGGAGGGTTTGGGTTGGTTTGTGATAAAATGGTTTGCATCTGACTGTCAAAGAGATCTGTTTACAGATTTACGTTGCTGAGTCACATTACTGAAACACTGTCAGTCCTCACAGCTAATATTTGCGCTTGGAAACCTAAGAAACCTGTCTTACATGCTCGGTATTTGGAGCCATGTTTCCTCTCTCAATTTCAAATACCAAGTTCCATGTTTCTTTGCATTTACATCTTTTATGTGAGAAGCAACTTTGCAAAATAATTTGTACATTGTGATATTTGTAGAAGTACCACAAATCAATGTATATTATACTCTCTGAATATATTTTCTCTATCTAACCATAGCAAAATTTATTTATTTCAAAATTTCACTCTGGTGTTCCTCTGTAATAAAGCAATTATAAAAGTGTGGGAGATTGTTGAAAACTTAACGGAGAGTTTGAAATGCTGTCCTGACGTGTGCATATGTATGCGCAGTCATCTTCAATAGCGACCAGTATACACGAAGCCTTGGCCTCTTCAATTCCAGCCCAGAAGGAGGTAACTGTTCTTTCAGTGTCTTTACACTTACAGATCATTTTCTCAAGGGATCACCATCTCAAGGGTGCATGACTTTTCCCAGGAAACTTCTGTTTACCACAGAGAGGTGCTAACAGACCAAAAATGTTATTCCACCCTAGGCTAGCTTGGAGAATGGACGAGCTGAATCAGGCTTACTTAAGAAGCATGGGCAGCTTATGCGCAGCTATACTGTGGAAGAAAAGCCTCCCCAGCAACTAATTGTTTCTATGTCCTATGTGCTGTCTCATGAGGCCTCCTCCCCTCTCTCCAGGGAATGTTAGTGGCCCAGTCTTATAAGGGTCCTATGGAGTAATCATGCCACCTCTGATTTCAACAGGGCAATGCCATGCCATGCCCAGACAACAGTATTCCATAACACATAGACAAAAGCTCATACATTCTGAACATATTTAAATTTCATGCATGTTTGTCTTGGTTTTCCATCGTAATATCAGTAACTCCAAAGATGGCAGGAGAAAGACCACTGACCCAAGTCATCATGGCCAAATTAATTAAAGCAAGCAATTAATAAAAGCAAGCCTTTTTATTCGTATACATGGGCCATCTTCCTCTAAAAGTGGGTTCAAGAGATCATCATTGTATGTGAGGAAGACAAGATCATTATAGCTTAGGGGTAGGGGGTTTCCAGATGGGAGATTTGGCAAGCAAACAGGTAGGGTCACAGGAGCAGAAGATAATCAAGTTAGTCATAATGACCTCCTGAGGCAAAAACTTGGTTGCAAGGTGGTCTCACAGCTGGTGGTCATAATAACCTTTGAAACAAAGGCATAGTTGCCATTTCCTGGAGCAGGCAGTACAGAACCATTTGTAGTTAAGGTTACAGGTAGGACATAGCCCAATCCTTGAGCAACAGAGATTAAACAGAAATAAACCTAGTTTGTCTTTATTATAAGGTGGCTTTTAATCCCAAGGTAAAGGCAAGAAGGTTTATCAATACATAATGCTGAGGAGGGTACTGCTCAGTTTGTTGGAGTGTAATCATCGAGTAGAATGATTAAGTGGCTTATACATAATCATTTTAATTTAAAATTTTTATCATGTGCATGTTTTGCCCGAGTGTGTGTCTGTGCACCACTTACATGCCAGGTGCCATGGAGGCCAGAAAAAGGCGTCATCAGATCCCTGGGACTTGAGTTCTGTGTGTTTGTGAGTCACCATGTGGTGCTGGGAATTGAATCTGAGTTCCCAGGAGGAACATTCGGTGATGTTACTCACTGAACCACTCTCCAGCCTCTTATGTTGTTGATATTCTTTTAAGAGGTAGGCTTTATTTTGGCTCACAGTTCAAGACACAGTCCATCATGATATGGAAGCTTGAAGCTCTTTGTTATGGGGCACCCAAAGTCGGGAAGCAGAAAGGGATGAATGAATGTCTGTGCTCAGCTGGTTTTCTTCTTTTTATAGAGTCTAAAACCCAAGTCCATGGGATGGTGCGACCTACTTTTAGTTGGTCATTGTCTTAATTAGGGTTACTATTGCTGTGACAAGACACCATGACCAAGGCAACTTTTTTTTTTTTTTTTTTGGTTGTTTTGAAACAGAGTTCTCTGTGTAGTCCTGGCTGTCCTGGCGCTTGCTGTATAAACCAATCTGGCCTCACATCTTTGCCTCCCAAGTGCTGGAATTAAAGGTATGTGCCACCGTGCCTGGACTAACCAAGACAACTTTTAAAAGAAAGCATTTAATGGGAGGCTTGCTTACAGTCTCAGACGTGAGTCCATGATCTTCACGATGGAGTGTGTGGTGCAGGCAGGCATGCAGCAGTAGCTGCAAGCTCACATCTGATCTGAAAGCTGCAGACAGATGGGATTGGGGGGGAGGGGGGGCGGGGATGATTGGGCCTGGCTTGGGCTTCTGAAACCTCAAAGCTCCCCCTCAGTGACACACCTACTTCAGCAAGGCCACAGCTTCTAATCCTTCCTCAATAGTCCACCAACTGGGGACCAAATATCCAAATATATGAGTCTATGGGGGCCATTTTTATTCAAATCACCACATTCCACTCCCTGGTCCCCAGAGGCTCTTGGCCATAATGAGAAATGTATTTAGTCCAACTTCAAAAGTCCCCATAGTCCTTCACATTCTCAACACCGTTTAAAAGTCCAAAGTCTCTTCTGAGGCTCTAGGCAATCTCTTAATTGTAAGCCCCTGTAAAATCAAAAGGCAGATTACATACTCCCAATGTACAATGGCATAGAATAAATATTATCATCCCTAAGGGGAGGCAAAGGGCATGATGAGGAAGTACTGTATGAAAGCAAAACCAAAAAACCAGCAAGGTAAATCCCAAATTGGGCATGCCCATGCCCAGTGTAAAAAAAAAAACAAAACAAAACAAAAAACTTATTAGCTGACTCTGCATCTCCCACCCTCTCAGCTTCGCTGACTGTAGCAAGGTTCTGTCTCCTGGACTGGTTCCATGATCCTCCTGCCTCCAACTCTGCAGCATGCCATTCAGATGAGAGCTCTCAGCTACCTCTCCAGCATCATGCCAGTCTGCTGGCCACCACAGTCCCTGCTGTCATGGCCACAGGCTAACCCTCTGGAACTGGAGCAAGCCCCCAATTAAATGTTTGCTTTACAAGTTGCCTTGTCATGGTGTTTTTGCCACAGCAACAATAACTCTACCTAAGACAGAAGTTGCTTCCAAGAGTAGCTCACCTGCTCACGCTGAGGGCCCTACTTCCTCATTCCATGTAGCTCTAGACTAAATCTTCCATCTACTTGAACACAGGATTTGGCTCCAACATTACATTTCCAGGTGTTCTTTTATTTTTCCTTCAAATGGTACATTTTGTATATCTTTTTGCAGCACTTACTTTTTTCAATGTAGATCTGTGTAAGAGTGATCACTAATAGCCACACAACACAGTCAATACAAGGCTGGCTTGAAATGTCCCCTGCCAATGACATCTGTCCAAAACTCTTCAGTTTATTTTTAGGCAGATCTTTTTGGGCAAGGGCAAGAAGCAGACATATTCTTTGCCAAAATGTCACAAGAATGGTCTCTTCCCTGAAGCCTCTTGAAATGGGCCTCCAACAATCCACTTTGCTCTCTGTTGTTCTCCATTCTTTGGGGGCCTGGATTTCAGCAGGGGCCAGGAACTTGGATTTCAAATGGAGAAAGGGGGTTCCATTTCTCTCAGGGGCAGCTAGAGCACTTTAGGGCAAGGTCCACATGCTAAACCAGGGTGTGGAAAAGGTTTTCCACAGAGTGTTACAGTTTAGCTCTTTTAGAATGAGATGGCTGGTAGCAGTGGAAATTCTGGAGTTCCAAAGTCTTTGGTGATACAAAAGTATTATAGCTCTTGGTTAAGCTGCTGTGCTGAGCCTGGCAGAGGTGGGAACCGAAGCCCAGGTCTGGTTGGCTTACAGCCAAGATACAGGCCTGGGGAGACCCGGGCCCAGCAGGATGGAGGGCAGGCCTGGGGTGGCCCAGGCCCAGCAGGATGGAGGGCAGGCCTGGGGAGAATCGGTGGGGGTAAATGACAAATCTCAGGTGGTGGCGGAAGGCCAATCAGCAGCATGCACTCCCAGCGCATTTATTTGAAATCAGGGATTTATAAACCTTTGGGCAGTGGGAGGGATTTCAGGGTGGATGTGTTAGATTTGCTGGGGTCAGAGTGTCAGGGATACTTGATTTACATGTATGGTGCCTCAGTTTCCATGCAGTAGCATGGTCCTACCACAAGAAGGAAAATACAGTGCTTAATTACCCTAGGGGTGAGGGGAAAATCTCC